GTACAGAAATTGCCCCATGGGATTCTAAAGTCATTTGGTCAACATGCTGGCTGACCTACAGAAATTATCTGTATGACAGCAAGCATATTTAGAGTACTTCCCAGTAATTATATTAAGAAGCAAACATTGAAACTTGAAAGATAGCTGAACTCAAAGTAACTCAAGTAAAATCAGCTGAATTATGTCAATTTACATTGGTAGAGCATCTAACTTCAACATGTTTGAAAGAATTAAACAAAAAAAAAAGCTTCTTGGTTTAAAATTTGGTTCCCTCAGGAAAGTCCAATTTCCACATTGGAAAAAAAGAAGTAGATAAAGTTAAATTTAAAGATGAAGTAAGACTTCCTTCTTCTAATTTTGTTTCTTTAATACTATTCCTTCTCCTCTCTCCATATTACTGATATAGTTTATTGTAATCTCCCCTTCTTGATTTCTGCTTGTACATCTATGAGCAATTACCAGAAAGCTGAAGAGAAGGCATATGGGAAATCTACAAGTAGCTTTCCAATACCAACAATGAGGTTATAAAGAAAGAGCCAGGCTCTTCACACTGGTGTTTGTCAGAAAATTGAGAGACAAAAGCTCAAATTGCAACAAGAGAGATCCAAACTGAATGTAAGGAATGAGGAAAATTAAGCAGTGGTGCAGGCTTCCTAAAGAGGTTGTGTGCAGTCCCCGCCCTTGGAGGTCCTTCCCAAAACCCGACAGGATAAAGCCCTGAGCAACCTGGCCTGATCTCAGAGCTGACCCTAGTTTGAGAACAGGATTGGACTAGAGATGTCCTGACATCACCTCCACTCCTCTGCCTTCAATTACCCGGTGATCCTATGAAGTGCAGTTTTCCTCTGTGCTGGCTTCTTTGCTGTGTACTATCTAACGTTAAGCAATAATGCATGCTGTAATGAATGCAGCATACTTTACCTTCCATTTCAGAGATAACCTACTCTGAATAATCTGACATGTACTGCAAAAGAAAAACACAGTCTGCTGGTAGGCTGCAAGTTACATTGCTTCTCTTCACTAAAACTTATCCTGGATACTTTTATATAAAGGAAAACCATACTTCACAGAATTAGTGTTCCTTCTGAAATTACAGATCTGGTTTACAAGGCACTTGCTTAAAAGTTCAAGGTGTCCCTGCTGGTCACATGGCATTTGTTAGACACAAGTTTTTTGATATATCAAGTCTCTATAGATGTAATCAGGTATCCTGTTAAAGAAAAGACATTTGCAGCATGCAAATAGATTTTTAAAAGGTATCATTTTGCTACTGCAATGCTGTAACAACTGCTCGCAGCATTAGTATTTAAGGATTCACGTTCCTGATATGCTAAACCAGATGAAGCACAGATCAAAACTGTAGAAACCAGACGACAATTCACTAAGTCACACTGACACTATGCTGGGCCAGATTCATTCAAAAACTTGGGAGGTTAGCTTTCAGTGAATAAAAGTTATGCAGATTAGGCAACATGTCCATGCTGAAGTTACAGCAGCCTCCCGTTGGTATCGCACAGGTCTTTACAACAATCCCTTTTGCATTCTCCTCAATTCTTGTCCCTAAGACCAGTATCTCTAGATCCTCAAAGCCTTTTCAAGGCAGGATTGTAGAGTGTAAACTTTCTTTACAGATTGATACAGATTTTCTGTGGTTGCAAAGTTGCAGAAGTACCACATGCACTTAGCCCTGTCACTGACCAGAGATAGACCCGGAGTCAAGCCCTGGCCATGGCTGGTTACCAGTCACAGCAAGTTCTCCTCCACTGGAGAGGAATTCCTGTTTGCTCTTGGGAAGTAGTTGTAGGGGAACATTACCTGTTCCGTTCCTCTTAAGCAATATGTGATGTATTATTTTTCGAAAGTACAGATGAGATCGCTCTGAGATGCCTCTGGAACCTTCAGCAGTTGCTTATAAAGGGCCTAATGAGAACCTACGAGAAGACAAAGGACATTGGGGCAGAACTGGCTTTGGCCCAGGTCCTAACAACTGAAGAAGCGGGGTAAGATGAGGGGTGAGAAGAAGGATAATGAACTTTCTATATTCATCCCAGAAAATACAGAGTAGTCAACTGGTCTAGACCAAGGGCAGTCAGACAGACGTATAGCAAGAGGCAGTAACTTTATTCAAGCAATACTGCCCCAGCCTGAACATAGTACAGGTCTGAAAACTGTAACTTCAAGTTTCAGTACAGCATGCAACAGACATGGCCTGGAGCTACAGCAGACTGGCATAGTAATTAATTTGCTTTCCTATCTGCAGATTAATTGGGTTCCTCTTTCTGTATGGTGTCCAGTTCTCACGGATGACCTAGCGCAGCAGTAGAGTCAGGGCATATGCACATATCCGCTGGCACTAGAGTTATGGTAGATGAACATATCATCGATCTGGGTTGACAAAGACTAATGGGAAGAATTGTAAATGAACATGAGAATCTTCAGCCTCTGCTGTGAACCAGAACCTCTCCCTTTGCCACCTCTGTGAATAAAGGTTTCCACGACACTAGCAGCCATGACTCCATCCTTCGATCCTTCCAATGTTTAAGAAGTGCTAGATCTCACATTTCCCTCAACAACAACAAAAAGACAAAAGAAAAAAAAAAACAAACCAAAAAAGTAAAAGCACACTGCAAGTATCAGGTACCTTTTGTAGCTCTAATCCAGACAGAAGAGAATTAGCTACTGACAGTCCTTAAGAGGAAGGGCAGCTCTCCAGATGGGAGAACAATGACCATGCTGCGCAATGAGTCTCTGCAATTGGTTTGTAAAACTTTGTTTCCCTCAAGGATCTATATTCTTCCCACAAATACAGAGAAAGAAATAAGCAGTATGTGCCCTAAGTATTTCCAGACCAGAAAAGAGTGTCTGCATCATTGCTGGAAGAATCTACCAAAGTGTAGAAAACCAGCAGAAGACCACACATTCAGTCTCAGCCATGAAGTCAATCTTGGTTATCTTGCAGACATCTGAAAGGGGCACAGTCAAGAGAGGATGGAGGAAAAATTGTATTAAACAATTCAGAAACTGCTATGAACTGCTGTTCCCTTCTCTAAGCATGACATAGTCTTAGGTCTCTCTAGTAGCAATGTCCTAGACCAGGGAAGCGCACAGCTGCCCTCAAACTTATTCCAGCTTTTAGGCACACTGTTGCCTTTCTACACCTACTGCATTACCAGTACAGTAGGCTTTAAATGGTTATTTTTACCCAGAACACCTTTGTAGACTGTAATGATGGCTTGGTTATTCATTGCTTTGCAAGGTTCCTCAGTTTACTGGCTACAATTGTTAATTCAGCACTTGAGTAAGTTTTAATAAAGGTCTTGGGGAGGTTGTTTTTATTGGGATATTTTCTTATGATTTTGCTCACTGGTTCTTTTAGTTGCAGTTTGTTACTGTTAACTCATTTAAATTGTTTCTTTTGAACCAATTCTCAAGCTTTTTCCCAACCTTGATCCTCTGGAATTATTTTTTTGTTTTTTTAAACTGTTTTGTCCCTTAGTCCTTCTTTTAGAATAAATGTAGGAGATGGGGAGCAACAGTGGCTGCAGAAGACTCCTGACTCAGTACAGAAAGCACAGCCCTACAGTGGAGAGAAGAAAACATCGGTGGAGAGATGAAAAGATGTACATTACAGAATGGGAGTGACCAGCAATGTACAAAAAAGCGTTGTTGGCCCACCCATCCAGATACCCATCAGAAAGGAAGAGATATGAAGTGGAAGTATTTGGAGATTCCAATCACATTATAACCTTTTGTGCATAAATAATCAGCCAGTGCATAAGCCTCTCAGAATCAACTGAACCAGAGGAAGCAGGTTCTAGTTTTAGATCCACATGAGAGCAGGAAGGTGGCATGTTCTGACTATTTACTCCCTCTTGCTTTTACAGAGGATATGCCAGATAACCAGAAATCAGTTTGCCTGCTGTATGAACTGAGGGTCAGCCACGAGTCTTCCCTGCTGGGCTCCCCTCTTGCCTTCAGATGCCTGAACACAACTGCAACATCGTGCCAACAGCTGCTCAGGCAGCAGCTGCTGGCAACTGCTCAGCTTACCAGTAAATGGGTTCTTTATCTAGGGCATCAGAGGCTGTACCACCAAACACAACTTCCTGAAGAAAATTCATGCTGCTGGAAGGCTGGAAATAAATGGCAGCCAACAGCTGCTATAGCTGTTTCCTGGGAAAGGAGATGAACCAGAAGCAGGAAGCAGGTGCATCAGGAATCTGCCCCAAAAACCCTACAGCACAGCAGAGCTGGCATCCAGCAATCAGTGTGGAAGGCTGGCAGAGGGGAGCAAAGCAAACTGTGACGTGAAGTGGCACGCCAATACATCATGCCAAGAAAAAAACCTCACAGTATGTGAACTAGGTTTTCTGGCAGACAACATATATGTCTCATGCCCAAGAACAGCTCTGACAATACACTGGTTGATCTAGTTGTGCAACTATCTGGCATGAAACTACACCCAGTGTTCCTATCAAGCTTAAAAAAAAAAAGGCTGTCCTTGCAGCTCCATCTTTCCTGACAGAGTCAATTTTTAACTTTCTTAAACCACAGATTATAAATCTGTTTAAACTGTGGGTGTTAATTTACTCTAGAGAAATAGATCTGGAAGAAAAGAAACAGCCCTTCAAATCAAGGTACATTTAAGCAAAGTATCATTAGAGCAGTAAGGGAGTTCCATCTTCATAAAATATAATGTAATTACATAACATAATGCAACTTATTTGATTTTAAAAAAGCAAACTAACAACCAGAATTCAATGCAATTTTTTTTACCCACACTATCAAAAATGGTTCCATTTTTAATTCCTTCCCTTTCAATGTATGGCAATTGGGAAAGAAATGAGTAGATATTCTAAACCAACATAAAAAGGATGTCATTGTACTAACATAAAACTGGTTTTGTGCTTTAAGGCTAATACAGTGTTTTTATTTACTTAGAACAATGTTTCCAATTCGAATTTCACAACACTGAGATTTCATTGTTAGTTCTTACTTACCAACAGTTCTGTTGCAAAGATAGTGTCGAACACTGATATTTCCCAATTGATTTGGTATCACTTGGTTGACCTGTAGGCATATTTCCGTGTCTTCACCTCTGATGTCAATTTCACCATTAACACCAAATATTTGGAAAACCACAACTGACATCTGTCAACAAAATTAAGATAAAACAATATGAGATTATCAATTGTGGTCATTGTTATTTAAGTTCTGTCTATACCTTTTCCTCCACAGAACGAAAAGAATCTTTGTATCCATAACCCTTGCTCACAGAAAAGCACAAAGTTTTCTCATTTCTTCTTCTTTTCCTTTTGCACCCATTGGCTTCACAATGGATTGCTCGACTGTCTGTCCACAGACAGACACTTGTATTTATAACCGCTAAAACCAATTCAGAATTGACCAGAAAAGTCATGATAGCGAGACAGTTTCCCCGTTCTGACAACGCAACATATGACCTATGTGACACCTGAAATTTTCTAAGGCTGCATTCAACTTCATGCAGATCATAAAGCACAACCAAGCATTTGTGGTGCTGAATCAGAGCAGGTTAAAGAACCAGGATAGACTACTAAACTTTGGCTATCTGCATAACAGTCAGCCGTTTTTCTCTATCTATTGGATTGCATTAACTTTCAAAAAAAATTAGCAGCCAGTTTCAAAAGTCAGCTTTGGTATCAGAAGATATATGTCTATCATCGTTACTATTATTTTGGGCTCATTTTTCTAATGACTTTTTAGTTATATTCTACAAGTAGGAAAAAAAATGACAACATGCATTTGCATAACAATCTGAATGAATTCTGTTTTTTCCATATTACATATATGCACAGATGATTGAAAATTTATTGAAAAGGAACCAATCATTTAAGTGAGCTGCTTTTTTTTTCCTTTTTTTTAATAAAATGAAGGCGATCCACAAATATTTTAAAACAAAGGTAGGTTTACAAGACTAACATTACGAGAAAGGAATATATGCCAGCAAGCACACTACAGATTTCAGTAAATTCATTGTCTTTCTGTGGGCCCATATACTCTTAGGTTTCCAGTTCATGACCTTAACTGATACAAGAATGTAATTTAAGAAGCATTGATTTGGGCAAAGATCAGCAAGGAATAAGTAGGTAGGCAGATGGAAAAAGTTGGACCTTGCGCAGTATCTCAAGGAGTGAATCTCTCTCTACGTGGATTATTCTTACAATCTTCTTTAAATACTGGGCATTGTTCTGACATAATCCTGGACAAGAGGCACATGCCCAGGAGGGCAGTTGTCATGCTCCTATTTGCAAATACAACAGAATGCTACCAGTGCTAAGGAAACATCTCCATGTAAGAGATGTCAGAGTTACAGTGCTTTCTTTTATCTACACTTAATAACATTAAAAAGCTCATTTTAAATATCACATTCAACAGAGTATAAAAGAACATGATAATATTACAAAGTATTGCTATGTACTAAAGCAGAAATATTTTCTGACATTTTTAAGTGGCTACTATCATTTATCAACAGTGGCTATAGAGGAGATAACAAGGACAGAGAATGCTCAGTGTACTTGGATTACATCTTTATTTGTACTTAATACAAGTGCACTAGATCCACAGGCTTCCATAATGCACTAACAAAAGCTCCCAAAACTACTTGAAAAGTCACCTCTAAAAGCATTCATTTTAGCTCTATTTTAAGGATTAATTTACCGAAGCATGTATTCTAATGGAATTCAATAATATTACCATTTCTTCACTAGTTTCATGTGCATTCTCTGAAGCAGCGCTCATGGCATCTGGAGATGACCCATCACAATTTTCAATCACTGTGCCTCCTTCATGGGCATTTTCTGATGGGCTTTGATAGTTTGTGGCTGTAATACCTTCCGTATATACATCAGAAAAAATGCAAAGTTAGCATAGCATAACCTGAATCACTCCCGCACTAAGAATAAAGTCAGTGTCTGTTACTGTATGCATACATTAACTCATTTTTTAAGATGAGTTGAACGGCTCATTAAACAAATATTTATGATTAAACTGCCAAATCCATTCCTCTTACAGAGAGTTCAAAGTTCTAGATGCTATGCAGGTAAGGCAGGATATAGTGACAAAACCAAAATGGCTTTCTTACATGCATTGTTCAAAAATTGTGAAGGGCGTCTTTTAGTCTTCCAATATAAAACTGATCCAGCAGAAAAAAAAGTTAAAGATCTATGCCATGTATCTAAAACAGTGCCATCAGAGCAAACATTTGCTGGTTTATGTTTAGAGAAATAAGCTCTCTATATATATTTGTTAGAGTGATTATGGTAGTGTTTCCTTGACGACTAGAAAGCATGCAGACTTAACCTGCAGTTAAATATTGTTTAACAAGCTAAAAAGACATATAAAGTTTATTTAAAATGGAAAGTGTATTTTATGGCATACTCCCACATAAGCACATGCAGGAATACTCCTACAATCCAAATACAGAACAGGTTTACAAGTGAAGCATTCTTCTCATTATTGCTCTAGCCTGAAAAGAAATCCTACAGAATTCTGTCATTCTTTATTCAAAGTAGAATTTATCAGAAAAGAAGTACCAATAATGTCATCTTATTGTATTACCTGACATTAGAAAATTCTTTTATCAGTTTTGCCAGGAAGCTACTAAGTCATTATAATTCCGTAAGTCCACAAAACTACAGACTATATAGACATAATTACCATATGCCTGAATTCTTCCCTCAGATCAGGAGCACTCACGCACAGATGAGCAAAAACTGGACAAATACCTGCTGTTAGACAGTCAATAGCTAGAAACTGCTCTGTAAGGAACAAGCTGCAAGGAGACTACCAGATCTATCTGCTTGGTAATTAGCATGGTGAGTATTAGTGAAAATCCATTTCTTTTTCACCTACTTTTAAAATTAAAGCTTCTTTACCACTTCAAGCATTACACTGATTCAGAGTACAAACCTGTAAATACTTACAACTAAAGCAACAGCTTTTAAGCTAAGCAGGGCACAGTTCTGCTTAATTCAGCATTACAACATAGCACTGCGATGCTTTTACTCTCCTCAAGAGAGTAAAATTAAGTAGCGTTTAATTAAGTACACTATTTAAGTAGCATACCTTATTGCTTTCCCTTGAAATGATGTGCTGTGAATATACTTGGTATTACTGACTGGAGAAGCTAACAGAAATAGTGCTGGAAATTATCCAGAATTTGCTGCACTACAATCCTTTTGAGTATTATTTTGGTAATAAACAATATTTTCCTGTATTGCTTAAAAATATTTAGTTAAACCTACTTACCTTTCTCCAGAAAGCTTTGGCTGTCACTTCCATCACTCTCTATCAAATGATCCTCTAGCATCATACTATCAATAGAGATGGTATCCAGAGAGACTTGTGATGGACTTCTCTTCATATTCTTGTAAGAAACAGAGAATGCAGGGAGGTTGGACGGGCAGCGTTCCTTAGGCTTTGCACTTTTTACATGTAAAGACATTAGGAAATTATTATTTAAAATTAAAGGAATTACATAGAAGTTACTTTAAAAAATGGCTCTAAATGAGGCAAGGTAAAATAAAAAAAATCTAATTATTCAGTAATCCTTTGGCAAGACAGAGATAAGCATAGAAACAACATGCATTCCTGTAGATATTTGTGCCAATATTTTTCTCAATATGTATTTCATAGCATTTAAACTGAAAGTAAATAGTTTAAATCAATTAACTAACAATTCATTTTAGCTTTCATTGAATGCTGGATCCTGCATATCTTACATCTTTATATACTTCTAAAATTTTCCATCTACTAGATGCTCACTTCTGCTGACCCTTACTAAACGTATGTGGCCAACAACACTGATAAAAACTTTCAAATAATAGAAAAATTTATTTAGCATTAAATCTTCTGTACCTTGATGATGACTGGGATGCAAACATTTTAACTGAAGTAACTTTCTCTTTGTTGATTTCAAGCTCTTCAGATTCTAAGGCAGTTTCTGATTCCAAGTCAGGGACTTGGGGAGGACAGCTTTCAGTTGCACCTTCCTGTTCATTTAACTTATTTGAGAATATGTTTTTATCATCCTCTTTATCAATGAAAAATTCAGTAGAATCTTCTCTTTTATTTAAAATGGATGCTGAATCTCTAGGATGCAAGCTACTTTTGTCACTTAGAGGTCCACAGACCTCCTCTGAATCACTTCTACTAAAAAGTCCACTGCTTCCTCCTTCACTTGTATCTCCCAAACCTTTATCTGATGCATCATCTGAAAATGATGTTCCTTTCTGAAAATCCGTATTACTGTCCGATTTAAACAAAAGAGGATCTATTAAAATTCCTTTATTAACTTCAGCATTCAGAGGCTTGCAGTCATTTACATAATCAAAATTAGTAATACCAGCTTGCACTACCTTATTGCCAACTAATTTACTCTTTGTAGTAAGAGCTTCCCCATTTCCCAAAGGGGAGAGCTCTGATGCCAGAGGACTTTCTTCTTCCACGACTGGAGACTTACAAGGGTTTCCCTGAGTCACTGGATGGAGCAGTAAGGCTAGTTCAGCACTTTTCAGTAAGATCCCAATGCAGACATCTGTTTGCTTTGCAGGTTTTCCTGTCACTGCTTCTACATCATTCCTTAAGTTTTCCAGGAGCAATACAAGGGATTCATGGAGAAACAGCAAAAAAAGATACTGGTAATGATTGATCTGCATGCTTACGTGTTTTTGAACATGGACAAGAACATGTACATCTGCATCAGAGGAAGAGCTTTCAGAAAGCACTCCTGAAGTGTCTGACATTTGAATGCCATTGGTCAAGGGGTCCGTCTCACTGCTGTAATATTCCTTTAAAAGTTTTTTACGTTGCAGTCTATTAGCAAGATCACTAGATTCACTTTTTGGAATGTTCAAAGCTGTCTGATTATGTGATAAAAGCTCTTTTTGTGACTTTGCAAATCTTACTGGCTGGCAAATCCAAAGTGAAAGTGGAAATGAGTCCACAAAGCTTATTGGTCGGCCTTTCCCACTTTTTGTTCCTTCATAATCTATCCAAAACTGGGAAAAATGCAAGGCCCAAACATCAGTAGCTGCAGACGTCTTTAACGCATATTTATTCAATTTTGGGATGATATAACCTTTATAAACATCGTGCATTTTAGTATCTTGTTCATGAGCATGTCTCTGGAAGATTGGATGCAAAAGATTAAAATTCTTCCGGGACTTCGGAAAAGTGGTGAAAGTTCTACTGAAAAATTCACAGTCTTTGAAGTTCTGAAACAAAGCTTCCAGATCAGAGTGTCTGCAGTTTGGCGAGTATCTTGTATTTGTAGCAATCATCTCTGAACTTTGAATGGAAAGTGCACGAGGTTGATCTTTATGAACTTCAGAGTTGTTTTCAGATGGGATAATGAACTGCAAGAGAGAAATGTATTTCTTCTAGTTAAAAATATGTAAATTAAGAAGGTATACAATTAAAGAAAAAAAATAATAGCCATGACATCTAAAATAAAGAAAAATAACTGTAATTTTATGAGAACTCAAGTATACTAATACACAACAGGGATAAGTCAGGCTCACAGATTATTATTTGTGTTTCCTCTTATTTTTAAGAAGGATGCTGTGGCATCTAAAACTCAAAGTCTTTGTACAAAAACATAAGGAGTCTCAAAAATGACAGGGTCTCAGGCTTTTCTTATCTGAAGGATTTTGATTTAGGTCAGCTATATTAGGTTGAAGTGTCATTTCTTCAACTCATAAACAGCTTGGCAGAAAGTTTCTTCAAGTGTTCCAAATATTTACAACTTTCAACTCCAAATTACAATTATCTGTTTTTCAATCTGATTTGTCAAATAGGGTTTTTCACTACACTGAGTGCTACAGTATTTTATTTCTATGGCAAGATACAGGGAAACAATTAGATGTGCTAACACAGCTAACATTCTTAACATTGTAGAATACAGAATAGGTATTTTTTGACCATTATCTGATAATCATAATACATTTTTTCAATCATAAAAACTCCTAAACCCCAACAAAATAGTTGAGTATAGTGGATTTAATTTAACTTGCATATCTTTAGTACAAGGTTTAAAGGAAATACATATTTTATGCCAAATCCTGTATCTGATGTTGCTAACATGAACCTTGGCCACACTAGTTTTTCCAGTATCAGTGATACTGCCTTCTGTCACATCTTCATGCTGAATCTAGAAAGATCAGAATTAAAAAGTCATCCTAAAGACACTTAATAGATGGGAGTGATGAAGCTTCTTCATGTAAATAAAAGGACTCTGAACAAAATAACCATATATGTAACTATATAATAATTAACTATATGATACATAAACATCAGGCATACCGATAATAAAAGATTTTTAATTTGCTAGAATAAAAATAATGCAGTTGAGGGATGAAATAATTAATATGAATCCAGGTTTGAGGGACTTATGGGTACTTTTACTTTTATCTTCTCTTAATTTAGTGGGCTATTCACATATAGTAATGCAATATTAGATTAGCCTGTATTTGTAGTTGCCTGGTTGCTATCTCTCAACAATTGTTTTCATTCACTACAAAACATATCCTTTTAAAGTTCCATTAACTATGCACCAAGAGCCTTACAAAGATAACTATCTCTCCACAGGCTGACTTTTTAGAACCCTTGAAACGTCTCCTGTGGACACCAACAAAAAGACTCATTGTTTTGTTCACCTCTGAATCCTGGAAACCAATGCCCAATGCAAATCAAGGGGAAAAAAATTTGTCTGCTCGATAATCCTTCTCCTGTAAAAAAGACAATGGAAGCAAAAATCTGATGTTCAGCTGCATTAACAAGCACCACTTCTCTGGAATAAACACAGAGAACTTGTGTACCTGAACTACAGCCAAGGGCCAGTGCAAAATAAAAAATGGTGAGAATGGGTTTTGGACAAGGAAATAAGCATTCAGGTGAACTACTTTCTTTACTCCACACATTCACTAACAAGACGGAAGAGTTTTGATACACTACAACCAGAAGAACAAGGGAGGGCCCTTGCATTAATATAGAATGCAAATATGAGTTTTTTGCTAGTTATTTTTACTTCTGTACTCAATTTTTTTTCTTCTGCTATGTTAGCTTCATTGAATACAGTGAAATAATTTGTTAATACTCTCATTCAGGTCTTCAGTACAAAACCAAAATACCCCTAGGACATAGATGAAGTAGTGTGGAAGACAGATGTCTGTCTTCAAACCATCATATTTGGCAGTTTTCCAGAGCAGCATTGCTTATTCTGTGGGTTGTTTGTTCATTTATTGCTTATGCTGCTTGGCTAACAGCTTTTCAGAATAAGAGAAAAAGTATTTTCTTCCAAAGAACTACAAAACCCCTCTTCAATGACAGTGTACCTTTAACATTAGTCCATCAACTCTAACATCAACATGTTCATCTGATTTTGAATTGTCATTTAACTTGTACATAGCCATGAACTGAATAAGACTCTGTTTCAAATCCAACACGAACTGATTTAGCCAAAGAATACTTCTCTCATCCAGGGTGAACTGTAAAGCATTCAGCTGGCCATACAAATTTGGACATGGAACTAAAAGAGAAAACAAAACAAAATCATGAGAACAAGTAAAATGTTTAGGGGTTGGCGTTTTTTTTGTTTGTTTTTAAAAGAAGTACAGACTTACATTTCACAAGTATTTTACATCAGAGAAAGAACAGAAACCCACTCCTTTGATCCCAAGGAAGAATAAATTGTTAGGGGATACCTAAAGTGATGCTTCTTTCTCTCACTCCAAGCAAGTAACTGAATTTCTGAATGTAAAAAGCTAATCTAAGAATAGAATGAAATCTGAGGAGACAGAGAGAATGTCCTCATTACAGAGGAAGGGCAGGACCAAGGAGATTTGCTGTCGTCCTCAGGTCCCATCCCCAAGAAACGCGCTGTCATTTCTGTATATAAGACAGGGCCAGCCCCATAACATATTAATAAAAGTAACTCCCGCGGATCTTCATTTCATCTTAGATGCTACTGCAATAGTTTGACTTCCTTTATGTAGCCAGATACTATAACTGCAGAAACAATACATGTATGTTGGAGAATGAAGAATTTATATCTCAGTAAAAATGCTGTGAGTGTTTACAGAGTTAAAAACCATGCTTATAAAAACCCCAGTATTTATAGGAGTTTGCCAGGAGCAAGCACTGTGGAAAGAGAGCAGTGTTGTGTTTTTTCCATTTTAGAAAGCCATTACCTATTTCCAATTGTCAACCTGGAATAAGTATTAAGCTTCATGAAGGTGAAGGTAATGCACAAAATTTATGGTTCAGTACAAACAAAACCAGTCTTACTAGGAAAGTCTTTTCCATCTGGATAGTAATATTCAGTGAATTCAATATGAATAGCTGGCATTTCTGGTGGAAGATAAAGTGATTTTTTATTGCAAGAGATCAGAGCTTTAGGGGAAGAACGACACTGGTCCGCTGTTGAAACCTGTAAAAGATAAAAGATTAACTTCATTAATACATTACATTTTTATGAATCATTAAGCATTTGTAGTTGCAAGGCACTGACCCTAGTAGGGTAACATTCCACTGCTCTCAGATGCAGATCCCCAGCTACACAAAGTGCAGACAACGAGAAACACCTAGTTGCCTTGTAGTAGCAGCAATCTGCACAGAACAGTCTCATGAGAAAACTATATAGTATTAACAGTACCAGATCCCCTTCCTTCATGCGAGGCAGGAGGCAGCAGGTCACTTTCAAAGGCGTTCAGGAGAAGCCTAGAACAATCCCATATCTTTCTTGCAAACACTACAGCTCCTGTATAAACAATTATGCTAGGATGTGGTATATTTGCATACCGTCTGTCCAGAAGGAACCCGTATCTAGATGATAAGGGATAGATAAGCTAGGTAAGTTTATTACACAAATGTCAGAAGTCCTTGTACTGTCACCAGGACAGATTCCAGTACATGGGCCAACTCTCAGCTGTATACTGCTAAACATGGTGTTCAGCATGCACCTGGCAGAGATATGTATACTTGGCTATGCCCAAAGGTCTACTTCACAGGAGAATCAGGACACTATAGAACAGTAATCCTCCCTTTCTCTTTCCTTCCAATGTAAATTATGAAACAAGAAAGAGATCACCTTTTGATACATATTTGACCTTAAATTTCTTGGAATGTACCCTAGTTTAAAAAGTATGTTGTCAAAACAAAGCCCTTTCATCCAACACTTAGTAGGTCAGACCGCTAGTTTGAAATTAGCCAACTTGTTAATATTAAATATATGATGATGTGTACTTGTACTAGTTTCACTGGAAATAATGAATATATAACCTTTATAAGCCTGCTTCAGCCTGTGTAGCTGTTTTCAAGCTGCCAACACCCCTGTGTTAACATGCACAAAAATTCAAGTAATAACAGATCTATTTAGAAAAACAGCTTTTTGTAGATTATATAGAAATAATGACGATTTTAAAAATTGAAAATGTATTTGTGTAGGAAGGAGGAGGAGACAAGCATCTGAAGAGTAGAAAGCAAACAAAAACACCGACAGTAGAAAATTATATTATAAAACCACTTCAAACCCAGATGAAGGCTCCTGGCAGCAAGCTGCAACCTCCCACTCTACCAGAAGTGATATGGCAAAAAACCACTGAAAATTGGAACAAGAGCACGTAGAAGTCACAATGACTAAGGGCACACACTAATAATTTTTGTTAGGACCTGAAATTTAGAGTAGGATCTGCCCATATCACTACCATTCTGCGTTAGAGATATACTCCTTCTCTATTCCAGTTGCCTCCTATTTGCACCAAAGAGTGAATCTGGACCACAGCCAGCAACTAAGACTGCTCACTGAAACAAATGAGGGGGAAAAAAAAAAATGGTTAAAGTGTCTACTCAAAGTTTCACTGAGGAGAAGGAAGGGATGGAGAAAAATGTAAAGCCTCCTTAATTTAACTTTAAAAAAAAAATCCACGTACTTAGAAAAAGATGTCAATAACAAGAGCACGAAACAAACCCACATATTAAAATACTGGGTACCTAACACAGCACAATGCAAAGATGAAATTCCAAATGTCAGGATTTGGGGATCAGTAGAACTTGGAGCCACAACATAATTGCGGTAGAGTATCATCTAATACAGAGTCGGTAAGAAAATATCCACTGATTTTAACAAAGCAGAAGCAGGCCCATAAAGATGTAATCCAATAACAAATGGAAAGACTGCTAGTAATTTCAATGGGCTTCAGAACTGTCCCTTAAAAACCATGGTTATGTAACAGTCAAGGGCAAAGCAGCCCCAGTTTTACTAACTTGAAGAAATGTACCTGATATATATTGAAATCTGCAAGTCTAACCACAATAGGACTAGACATCAGTTTGCCCTTTGGTTGTTGGGAAGATACAGAGGAAGCCCTAGATGTTCCTTTCGGTATCTGTTCCTTGCCTGTAGGAAAGAATAGTGATGGAATCATTGAAAAGAACAGTCTTTTTTAGAATAGTTTCAACATTTCATGGAATTAGAGCATTAGTGGTGCAAACCAAGTACCTGTTTGTAGATTTTGAGGAGATACAGCAGGTGGTGATTTGGGAGGAGAATCTATGACCTGATCTTTCACAGCCTGCTTAAGCAATTCAACATTGCCTTTGAATTCATTTAATAATTCTTTGGCCCATCCACTTCTGGTTTTCGTGGCATCACTGTAATGCATCCAGTGATTGCAGCTGTCTCCTGCAAATAAGAGGAATAGGAAAATACTAACTCATTTGAAAGTTTCCTTCTAACTGGGTAACAAATTTCCACTATTTCACAATTCTTCTTCAAAATATAATCTCATTGCATGCTGTAATTACAGAACAACAGAAGTTATAACAGACATTAAAACAGAAGTTATATATTACATAAAAACAAGTCTCACTGCTTCACAAATTCACTCAGAAAACAACATATTGCCACCTGCCTTTTAACACCACTAACTAATGCTCAAAACATCATTGGATATTTCCAGTTCAAAGAAATCTGATGACACATTAATTTCATATGTGAGAACATGCAAAAAAATGTTTCATTGAAAAAAAATGTGAGAGCAAGTAACAGAACAATGTTCTCATGCTCACTTTTTCCAAACTTATCTTTCCTGCCAGAACTGTGTCCTAAGAAGTTCCTGGTCCCTTTTCAGAAATGTATTCTTTTAGTCTTGGCTCTCTAGCACCTTTATGGCACACAAACAAGAAGGTAAGTTCAATCAGTGCTGCAGCACATAGCCTTAAAAATCAAGCCCAGTAGAAATTCTTTTATTCCTAACATGTTTCTGTTGATCAAGCATTTAAACCTCTGAAAGATATTGAGATCTCTTCAAACTGTGCCTGTAAAGACAGTCTAACCTGTTCAATAATAAGGATGCAATATAAGTAACTTCTATCAAGTGGTACAACACTCTTTAAATACCAGCATGTGAAAGCTTACTTTATTTTGGACTTAATGAGGTTTTGGATACTTACACCGGGGATGAGAAGATATGGTCGCTATTAAAATAGGAAAATGCTTTAGGAAAAACTTGTGGCTTCAAGTCTAAGTACAAAGATTTCAGCATGGAAGAAACTTTAAGGGAGTGGCCTATCACAAGAGATGACATTTTTCCCCACCCTCCTGCCTCACAGGAGAGGAATAACCTCATGCACCAGTACAGCTTAGGGGCTGACCTGCTGGGAAGTAGTGCTGCAGAGAAGGACCTGGGAGTCCTGGTGGACAAGCAGCTCTCCATGAGCCAGCAGTGTGCCCTCATAGCCAAGGCGGCCAAGGGTATCCTGGGGTGCATTAAGAGGAATGTGGCCAGCAGGTTGAGGGAGGTTATCCTCCTCCTCTACTCTGTCCTAGTGAGGCCACATCTGGAGTTCTGTGTCCAGTTCTGGGCTCCCCAGTTCAAGAAAGACAAGGAACTATTGGAGAGAGTCCAGCAGAGGGCTACAAGGATGATGAGGGGACTGGAGCATCTCTCTCATGAGGAAAGGCTGAGAGAGCTGGGCCTGTTTAGCCTGGAGAAGAGAAGACTGAGAGGGGATCTGATCAATACTTATAAATATCTAAAAGGTGGATTTCAAGAGGAAGAGCCAGACTCTTTTCAGTGGTGCCCAGCGACAGGACAAGGGGCAATGGGCACAAACTGGAACACAGGAAGTTCCATCTGAACATGAGAAAAACTTCTTTACTCTGAGGGTGATAGAGCACTGCAACAGGCTGCTCAGAGAGATTGTGGAGTCTCCTCCTCTAGAGATACTCAAACCCTGCCTGAATGCAATCCTGTGCAACATGCTCCAGGTGATCCTGCTCTAGCAGGGGGGTTGGACGAGATGATCTCCAGAGGTCCCTTCCAACCCCTACCATTCTGTGATTCTGTGACTTCAGCAAGGCTTTCAACACTGGCTGTAACATGCTTAGTGACAAAATGATGAAGTACTGACTGCACAGTCAGGTAGACTGGAAACTGGCTAATCTGTTGGTCTTCAAGGGTTGGGATCAGCAGCATGAAGTCCAGCTGGAGGCAGTCATCTGTGGAGTACCCCCTGGGCCAATACTGGTGCCAATATATCTTTGTTAATAACGTGGATGATGGGACAGACTGCACCCTCAACAGCTTTGCAGATGGTACAAAACTAGGAGGAATGGTTGATACACCAGGCAGTTGTGCTGCCATTCAGAGGGACTCTCAGAAGGCTAGAAAAGTGATCTAACAGTAATCTCATGAACTTCAAAGGGAAGGCTATGGGCTGACTGGCTGGAAAGCAGCTTCACAGAAAAAACAAAAACCCTCCAAAAAAAACCAAACCCTGAGACAAGTTGAACATGAACCAGTCATGTATCCTTGATGCAAAGAAAGCCAACAGCATGTTGGGTTGCTTAGGAAAAGCATTGTCAGCAGGTTAAAGGGGGTGATCCCTGCCCTTTGCTCAACCTTAGTGAGACCACATCTGGAGTGCTGGGTCCAGTTCTGGGGTCCCCAGTACAAGAAGGCCATGGACTTACTGGAGCAAGTCCAGCAAAGGGTCACAAAGATACTTAAGGGACTGGAACTGAGATAGCCGGGATCATTTAGCCTGGAGAAGAGAAGGCTCAGAGGGATCTTACCAATATGTCTAAGTGTCTGATGGGGGGAGTAAAGATGAAGGAGCCAGATTCTTCTCAGTGGTGCCCACTGACAGGACAAAAGGGAATAAGCACAAACTGATACACAAGAAATTCCACTTAAATTAAAAAAAAAAAAAAAAAAGAAGAAGAAGAAAAGAGCTTTTCTACTGTGAGGGTGGTTAAACACTGGTGGACTAGGTTGCCCAGGGAGGCTATAGTGTCTCTGCCCTCAAAGCTATTCCAAACCTAACTGAACACAATCCTGGGAAGCTTACTTTTAATTAATACCAATTTAATCAGAGGGGTTGGACTATACAATCTCCAGAGGTGCCCTCCATCCTCAACTATTCCACAATTCTATCTATGGAGATGTCATTGCCACATTTATCTGTGCAGAGTGAAGAGACAGGCCAGATTGTAACAAGAAAACAATGTTTTAGTGGAGCTGACACTGATGTTACTATCATCTGAATTTATTGCTGGTTGCCCAGGAAGAAAATGCTTTCTAATTTCTCATATTGTCTCAATACATCAGCTCAATCAAGAATATCCTGTGCTGCAAAATTTCCTGTATCATGGCAAAGCAGCAGCTTTCTCTGATCATCATCCAGCAACACATCTGCTGCACAGATAATGGATAAAAGCTTCTGTGAGAGCAGGTCTAGGAGGACTAGTAAAGTGATGGATTGCTGCACAGACAGGTTTACAACATCCAGTAATAGTCTGGCTTATGTTAGGGTTATCACAGTCGATTGACATACAACCTGCTTCATTTTTCTTAAATACTATGAAGGGCGATGGTTGGAAGGCTTGATTTTCAATGGGTTATAAATTTACCCTACAGCAATTATGCCTCAGACTCCCTGTAGAGTCTTTCTGGGTGGGGTGTGTTACAAAAAAACAAACAAAAAACCAACAAGAACCCAATCTGCAAAGATAACTAATTGTTGAAGGCTTTTTTCCTGAAGGATTAATCACAATTTTCAAGAAGACTATACCAAAAGAGCTCCTTCTAAATATTCCATAGGCCAGAAAGGTACAAAATCAGAAGAGAGTCTGGCAACAGTCACAGAAGTATATAGCTGTTTCCTCCTTGCCCATTGTAGTAAAGTATTAATAAGGTGTTGTCCATAAGTACGCAATAGAGCCTCAACTTCAGGGTAGGAAGTTCTGTATGCCAGATGACGGCCTGATACAGCACTATATAGAGGCATGATACCTACACAGCCAGAGAACTCCCTTTCAACTTTTGAGATTAATATATGCTCATTTTACTTTGACTAAAGGGACTCTCCCCCCACCATGATGATAGTTTGTCCATAGAATTGCCACACCCTTCTAAAACTGTGAGGATGACCTCTTAAAGTGGAAAAATAAACTTTCTGACATGTTCCCTCCCCCTCCACACATACACCCTATTGGATCAAACACCAGCACCTTTAGCAGGTTTTTTTTGGTCATAGCTAATTTATTAGTGAGCCCTAGGTTTCTGTTACTTAAACATAATTGTACAGAACACCATTTAAAACTGCAGGAGAACAGTACCTTTACAGGCACCACCTTTGCCCTGCAGATGATCTTTTCCACCTCTGGTTTCACATAGTGGGAGTTATGTCCCATGTAGCCATTACCTAAAAGCATTCTCACGGAGCTTCTAACATGCCTGTCCAGGAGCTTACTGTGCATGGTTCAATCTGGCTAAGAATCCTTCCAAAAGAAACAACCTATTTATTTCCCTGGTTGTCTGGATTTTCTCTGAGGAGAGCTCACAGAAATCATAGATAAATTAGGTATTAGTCCAATCTATAGCAAAGAAAGAATACTGTTATTCTTAAGCATATGCTTTTCTGTGGCTGTGCATGTTTATTTGACCTACACTAAATTACATTTTTTAAGGTGCAAAAACTATACCTCCTACTTATGAATGAAATCGATTGACATTACAAGACTCCATCTGAAATCATGAGTGACAAGGAGGATGTAAGGTAAGCTACTGCTAATGCACCTGTTTAACGTATGTGGATAATCACTCCAAAATGACTGGTTTTGTGTTAGTAAAAAGCAAAAAAAGCACAACCAGCCCCCTCCACCAACTGAAAGCCCCTCCACTGTACTGGACTGCCTTTGATCTCAAATTCAACAGCAAACTTATATCATCTCTTCTAAATTTTTTAGATTTCTGAAAGACATAATTACTATGAAAGATTTGTAAGAAATTCTTCTTTGGAAATTGCTAACATCTGTGTAATAACAATTCCCTACAAATTTAACAAAAGGCAACACAAGTAAACCACAAAGATTCTTGCTTAGCAAAAAAAAGTAAAAACAAAACATTGCTTGGAAATGGTAATAAAATGATAGAGTTTGATATGGAAAAAAGTCTGTTGGATTAGAAGACTGCATCTGACTCTTGCAGATACCCAGTCAGTGCATTCTCAATCTGTTGTACTGCCTTCCCCTATTAACACACAATTCTTTTCATGTCAGAAATGTGTAAACACCATTTCAGTGAAGAGGAAAAGCATTTGGCCTAAAATAGCTCATTCACAGAAATCAAATTGGTTCCCAGGTTGTTGCTTTTGTTGTTTGTTTTTGCATATAAAAGGAAATTAAAAGGTGTGTATTTGAAATGTTTAGAACATTATTATCCAAGACATATACATATACATACATAAACAAATTTTTAGTATTTAAGCAAGATAGTTACATACACAGGCAATTCACAAAATGTTCACTTTCATACCTGCTTTGTGAAATGGATAATAGTCCACTGTTAAATAGCTGAAGGAAAGCTGCATGGCCCCTCCTGTAACACGCCTATTTGAGTCTGTAAAATAAAACAATGCTCAGCTCTGCAGACATCATATTTAGCATGTTAGTGCTCATGTTGTTGCACGCCTTCAGGCATCTAACAGCTACTTCTCCCTCCCCTTTACTGGTTCTCCTTACAACCTCATTATCTTCCCTCAAAATTTTTCATTCAGATGGTTTTCCCTGGTTTCTAAAGATCAGCTTGTAGAACTCTGTACTCTGTCACTGTTCTTGGTCACTACTAACAAACTGCATATTGTTTTAAATGCTATTAAAGACAACTCTGTACACCTATTATTGCAGTTTTTCTGAAACAAACTTTTCATACTGAATATATTATTATGATCAGTCATTCAAAGTCAATGTTTACTTTCAATAATGTTGTAAATACAATTTGTTTTCTTATTTTAATTGACAAATATTATTGCAGTGAAGAGGTCTTCTGAGAGCTCTATGTTCTGATTTCTCCACTGCTGAATTTAAGCTTCATGGCCAAAAATAAAGGACCGATAAAGCGATCTCACTAAGAATGATAAATCTCAACCGCAGCAGATACACAGCATGTAAGGAAATACGTCTCTAGCCAGTCAACCTTATGCTCTGCTGCTATGCAAGTGTCTTCCCTAATCAGGGAAATACATTCACTGAAACCTAAGTTTTTCACACTCTTTTCTTCAGCAGACCTTGTATGCCTCTCTCAATTTTTTCAGTGACTAGCCAGATCCTTGGATATATGCTGATATGTCATTCTTCTAATCACTTTTAAAAGGCAAGAAAATAGTGTCATTTGTCTTCTTTTTTTCTGATTATAAATATGGCATACCGCAATAGCCTTTCATTTTAAAAAAAGTACAAATATTACATACAAAATTATAAGAACACTTGCTTCATTCTTTCAATTTGCTGCAGACATACCAAATTCTCTAAAGTAGTAACACGAAGAGGACTGCTCTTTTATTGGTCTGTATTTTATAAGGAGTATTACAGAAGCAGATTGTACAGCGACCCTTTCAAGCCAGAATAATCTTGCTACCGCATTCTTGATAACCCAGTTAACTTATAATGTAAAGAAAAAGCCAGCAGTTACAATCAGACCGGACAGAATCAGTTTCTAGAGGACAGGAAAAGCACTAAAGCTACAGGAACCATTAGCAGTTTTTACTGCATTTATTCTAAAATAATTACAATTAATAACAAAATGATAGAGACATCTAGCTAATTTTAAATGTGTCTACAGACACTGGAAGACAATTCTGAATATTCCTCTAAAATAAAGACAGGCTTTTGATTAGCATTACTGTATTCCTCAAAATGTCTTCTAAAGACAATTATGGTTCACAGGCATGCTACTTTAAAAAAAAAAGTTACCTTTTTCTTTAGAATGGATATCATCACATATATGTAGGTCCAAATGGGAAATTACTAAGTGATGAGAAGTTTCCTTAACATCAAAATCATTAAACAATTTTACTATGGCATCGTTTTGATCAGGTGCTGCTGTTGTCTGGTGCGCTTTCACCTGCTGGGAACTGGGCGCAGGGGCAGAGCTCTGAAAAAATGTTTAGTTATATCAATTTGTAAAGTTTACCCTTCCTTTCAAGCATCAGTATCCTTTTACTTACTCAAAACAGGCCTTTCAAATACGGAAAAATCTGCAGCACACGCATTCACCTTGGATTGTTACCGAGATTTAAGCGTGCTATTTTAGAATGAAGCTAAGTGAAGCTAATGGCTAGGGGTCACAAAGAGGCAATGCCAGTTCATCCCCCCATTCTCCCGCTCCCCACACTTCTGTACACCCCCGTCACTTGCAGCTCTGGTATCTTTTTAACTTTTGTTGCAAGCCATTCAGGGAACTAAACCAGCAGGTTTGCTCTCCAAATCAAAATATTTTCTGGTTATGAATTTAAAAAAAATAATTAAGACACACTAAGGTAACCTTAATGCTTCATTTTTTGTTTGGCTCATTTCTGCTAGTTTAGCTCCCTAAACTGCATCACAATAGGGTCAAACAACTGAATGAAAATGAATAACTGAACATTCTCTTATATAAATTAACACAACTAACCACACTGTGCTGTATTTTAGAATACTTGATAATGACATAGTGAGACAATCAATTATCATACCTGTGCTGTTTCAGAAGCCAAGCTTTTTCTCTGTTCTGTTGATTTCTCTATGGCTTCACTAAGAGATTTGGCATACTGCACCATGGCTTTCAACTGAGAATCAGTCAAAACCCATAGCAAATCATCCAGAATCAGAACCAGTTTTGATGCCACTACATTACAATCTTTTAACTGTAGAATAAAAAATTAAGTCAGTCAAATGGGTTTATTAAATACTTATATTTCTTATATCAAATACAAGAAAAAAAAAGTTGAATGCAAAAACCACCCTTCCCAAAAGGCAAATTTCTTCCATATAAATAACAAACATGTTTTTTATTTTAAATTGTATTCCTCTCATTAACTAAAGAGTACCTAAGATATAGTATATTTATGCCTCACTTTTTGTTTGACATTCATTGGATATTAAACTGATGCATTTCTCTAAATGTAAGTAATGTAAATATAACCTGAATCTAGAGAGGTAAGACAACATGCATCGTCATAAGATTTGCAGATCAAACGATTTCATTAGTAGGACCTCTGCAAGGTCTTCATCTTCAAATTCTGCCTGCAATACTTCTTGTAAACAATTTTACCAATTATAGGTTATTAAAAAATTAGTTCAGGGATTTCTACATTTATATGGCCTAAATTTAAAACTTTTATTATGTGCATGTATGCATTAAAAGCATGAGTTAAAAATTAATTCATAAAATAGAAGATTTCAAACTTTTCAAGTTTACCCTTCTTTTAAGCGTGACCCTAATTTTTGATTGGTTAGTAATCAGTCGAACTGGAGCACTCATGATTTCATGCTTAGAACTCTGGATTGCATCTGCTTCTATTCTGATCATCTGCCAGTTGATTTCTTTAAAAGTCAAAACCTTTAAAGAGAGAGAAAAAGAGAAAAACACCTCTAGTTTACTTGAGCCTAAGCATGTGCATGTATATATCTGCACATATATATATACACAAACATACTCACATTTATCCTTCATGCAGAGCTATATGATCAGAACAAACACAAGGCACTTATTACTTCAGTTACAGGTGTCAGGAAGTAAAGCCCTGATCCTTCTCTCTACCTCCAGAATGTCACAGAAAGGTTAAGCTAGTTCCAAACAGGCAGAGGTAACAAGCAGCATTTAAAATATTCAGAAGAAAATAAAGGTCACAATTACTGAGTACTAGGTTGCTTTTGGTAGAAGAAAAAAAAAGAAGATTGTATACTTTAGTTTCAAAACGCTAAAGCCTAATACATAGGAAAAGAGCCAGGAGGGAAGCAAAGCTACAGGATGGGAAAGATTTTTGGAGGGGTTTATTTCAATTAAAAGAGAAAGTTAAATATTGAGTACATTGTATGCCATATAGGCCCCACAAACTTTGAATCCATGACATGAATTTCTAGAAGACACAGCAAGCAAATGTTAGAATAATGATAGAAGAGCAGCAAGTACAGTCGGATATTGAAAATCAAATACAGGAAAAGGAGTGATCATCCAGCAGCAACATCATAGAATGTTTTGGGTTGGAAGGGATCTCAAGGATCACTTAGTTCCAACCCCCCTGCCATGGGCAGGGACACCCTCCACTAGACCAGGTTGCCCAAAGCCCCATCCAACCTGGCGTTGAACACTTCCAGGGAGGGGGCATTCACAATTTCTCTAGTGAACCTGTTCCAGCACCTCACCACCCTCATGGTGAAGAATTTCCTCCTTATATCTAATCTAAATCTACCCTCGTTCAGTTTAAAACCATTACCCCTCATCCTGTCACTCCATGCCCTTGTAAATAGCCCCTCTCTATCTCTCCTGTAGGCCCCCTTCAGGTACTGGAAGGCTGCTATGAGGTCTCCCTGAAGCCTTCTCTTCCCCAGGCTGAACCATCCCAACTCTCTCAGCCTGTCCTCATAGGAGAGGTGCTCCAGCCCTCTGATCATCTTTGTGGCCCTCCTGTGGACTTGCTCCAACAGGTCCATGTCTTTCTTGTACTGGGACCCCCAGAGCTGGATGCAGTACTCCATGTGGGGTCTCACAAGAGTGGAGTACAGGGTGAGGGACAATCACCCCCCTTGACCTGCTGGTCACGCTTTTTTTGATGCGGCCCAGGATACAGTTGGAAAACATCAAATGAGCGGGTTATCAAAAGGAAAAAAAAACATTAATCCTAGTTTCCCTAAAACTTCTTCCTACATTACTCTGAAGAAAAAAAGATCAGCCCCGGGGAAAGTGGAAGAGGGAAGAGTTTGTTTGGTGTGTGTCTTATTTTTCAGCTGTCATTCTCTTCTTGTCAATTTGACAACTGTACAGCCTATGTCCTGCGAATATAAGCAAAGACTTAAGTAAAACATATCCAAAGTGTTTGAGGAGGCGGCACGCACAATGAAGTGAGCAAGATGAAAAGGCACAGTGCAAAGTAGCCTGAAAAATATTATCTGCAGAAAAGCAGAGTACCTACCCTCCTCATCCAGGAGATGCAGCATGAATAGAAGCTTCTAAAAAAATTCTAAGGAGATTCCTTATTACATTAAGAGTGTGGCTACAGTGCAAAGCTAAAAGCTTACTCCCTTAAAACATATCTTTATAGTACAGTGTTGGTTTTGTTTTTTCACCTTTTCATGCAATTTACTGCTAACAAATCATTAACTACAGTTTCTAGAAATCTGTGGTTCCAGAATTCATTGCACTAAGAGGAACACTCCCCAAGGAAAGCTCTGTTGTGTATGGGGTGACTATTCAGAATCAAATTCTTCCTAAAAAGCACAACACCAAAAAATATGGCAATATAAAATTCCATCTAGTCAAACTTCAATTCCTCCTCTTTAGAATTCATTAACACATGAACGTTAGCATACAGATAAGCTGCAGAAAAGGCAAACTGTCACAAAATAGTTTTCAACTTATTATTTTTGTGGTATTTTTTTAACTAACATTCTCTTGGGGGTTCTTT